AAGTTTCTGTACTTTCCTGAATTCTTTCCTCTCAATTTCCTTGATTCATTACAGGGAGCAAAAATGATCCCATGGTTGAATTTTGCATCCTTGTTGGTGCTCCTTCAAGGTAGTTTTTCCCCTCGTTAAAGAATTAACTTATTTTTTTTTCTTTTTCTATATAGAAGATTTGATTGAAACACTTTTGTTTTTAGGAGTCCAGTCTCAAGTACAGCTGGTGGAGTCTGGAGGGGATGTGAGAAGACCTGAGGAGTCCCTCCGTCTCTCCTGCCAAGCCTCTGGATTCACCTTCAGCAGCTCTTACATGAGCTGGGTGAGACAGGCTCCAGAGAAAGGCCTGGAATGGCTCGCCTACATAGGTACAGGCTCATCTCCTTCCACTTACTACCCAGACAAAGTCAAGGGACGCTTCACCATCTCCAGGGACGATGCCAAAAGCCAGCTGTATCTGCAAATGAACAACCTCAAACTGGAGGACACAGCTGACTATTACTGTGCCAGAGACACAGTGAGAGGAAGTGAATCTGATGCCAAGCAAAAACCTCCTCTTCCTCTGAGTAGTTTTCCAAATTGAATGAGAAAGTTGAATCTGTGTATTTAAAGTGAGAAACAGAAGATAAATCTCCATATACAATATGGAACCTCAGATCTGACCTTCTAAGAAGGATAATCTTTCTAAATAATCAAACTGCCATATAGATATTTATTTATTTTATTTCTTTTATTTGATTTCTATACTGCCCTACTCCCGAAGGACTCAGGGCGGTGCACAGCCAAACAATAAAACACATACATACAAAATTTAAAAGTAGAATAAAATCAAATTAAATAATTTTGGCCCCGACAAATTTAAAACCCCAAACTTTTAAAACCAATTTAAAATTGAATGTATAAAATACTAAAAGATATTTAAAAATTAAAAATCTTTTATAAAAGAGGGAGAAAATTAGGCCAGGCCCGCCTGGTGAAATAGTAAGGTCTTTAAAGCGCGGCGGAAGGCGCGCAGATCCGGGATCCTCCGTATCTCTGGGGTGAGCTCGTTCCAGATAGTAGGTGCCCCCACAGAGAAGGCTCTCCCCCTGGGGGCCGCCAGTCGGCATTGTTTGGGTGACGGCACCCGGAGGAGCCCCTCTCTATGGGAGCGTACCGGCCGGTGGGAGGCTATTGGTGGTAGTAGGCGGTCCCGCAATTACCCAGGTCCTAAGCCATGGAGTGCTTTAAAGGTGGTAACCAAAACCTTGAAGGGCACCCGGAAGACCACCGGGAGCCAGTGCAGCTCGCGCAGGAGGGGTGTTACATGGGAACGCCATGTTGCTCCCATTACCACCCGCGCGGCCGCACTCTGCGCCAGTTGGAGCCTCTGGGTGCTCCTCAAGGGGAGCCCCATGTAGAGAGCATTGCAATAGTCCAGGTGGGAGGTGACAAGGGCATGAGTGACTGTGCGTAACGAGTCCTGATCCAGAAAGGGACGCAACTGGCAAATCAGGCGAACCTGATGAAAAATCCTCCCGGTCACGGCTGTCAAGTGCTCTTCTAAAGACAGCCGTGAATCCAGGAGGACGCCCAAGTTGCGAGCCCTCTCCGTGGGGGCCAATGATTCGCCCCCAATAGTCAGTGATGGTGTCAACTGATTATATCGGGACGTCGGAAACCACAGCCACTCGGTCTTGGATGGGTTGAGCCTGAGCCTGTTCCTCCCCCTCAATATTATTGAGGTAATATTAAGGAAGATGACTCCCCTCCTCACTTTGGACATGAGGGGGCAGCGTTGTCACATGAAACTCCATGGCATCTACACTGGGTGGGGGATGGGATAGGGAATAAAAGAAGTGTCATTAGATATAGTCTCATTTCTGGGACATGATTTTTTTATTGTTTCCATAATAGTTCACTGAAAAATCTGAGTAAAATTTCACATATAAGGCGGTTATAATCCTCACCTGAAAGCTCAGAATTTTTGATAAAATAATCAGAGTTTGTATCTAGAGGAAGTTTCTGGAATGTATAAAGGTGCTACAGACCTTTGCTGAAAATGAAAAGTACATGAAGGGACATTTTATTGTGTGCACGCACACATACACACGCCGAGACAATATATATTCCTCATTGTGAAGCCATGTCTAAGTTGACAATTAAATATGAGCCAACACTGTGTGGCAGCAGCCAAAAAAGACAGTTTTAAACCTTAATTGCATTAACAAAGGGATTCAACCAAGATCACGTGAGGTACTAATCAGTGATGGGTTTCAAAATTTTTTACTACCCGTTCTGTTGGTGTGGCTTGGTGGGCATGGCATGGTTTGGTGGGCATGGCATGGCTTGGTGGGCATGGCAGGGGAAGGATACTGTAAAATCTCCATTCCCACCCCACTCCGGGGGAAGGATACTGCAAAATCCCCATTTCCTCACGATCAGCTGGGACTTGGGAGGCAGAGAATAGATGGGGGTGGGACCAGTCAGAATTTTTACTACTGGTTCTCTGAACTACTCAAAATTTCCACTACCGGTTCTCCAGAACTGGTCAGAACCTGCTGAAACCCATCTCTGGTACTAATACCACACTATAAAGCCTTAGTAAGACCATACCTAGAATACTGCATCCAGTTTTGGTCACCACACTGTGAAAAATATGTTGAGACTCTAGAAAAAATGCAGAGAAGAGCAACAGAGTGGATTAGGGGACTGGAGGATAAAACATGAAGAACGGTTGCAGGAACTGGGCATAGCTAGTCTCGTGAAGAGAAGAGAAGGACCAGGGGAGACGTGATAGCCGTCTTCCGATATTTGAGGGTGTGCCATGGAGAGGAGAGGGTCAAGCTATTTTCCAAAGCACCTGAAGGCCAGACAAGGAATAAGGATGGAAACTGAAGAAAGAGAGATTCAACCTTGAAATAAAGAGAAATTTTGAAAACAATCAACCAATGGAACAGAAGTTGCCTTCGGAACTTTTGGGAGCCTCATCCCTGGAGGCTTTCAAGAAGTGACTTGACTGCCATCTGTCAGAAACGGTGTAGGATCTCCTGCAGAGGTGGGTTTTAGCAGGTTCTGACCAGTTCTGGAGAACCGGTAGTGGGAATTTTGAGTAGTTCGAAGAACCGGTAAATACCACCTCTGACTGGCCCCACCCCCATCTATTCTCTGCGTTCCCGAGTCCCAGCTGATCAGGAGGAAATGGGGATTTTGCAGTAACCTTCCCCTGGATTAGGGAGGGAATGGAGATTTTACAGTATCCTTCCCCTGGAGTGGGGAGGGAATGGAGACTTTACAGTATCCTCCCCCTACCATGCCCAACAAGCCATGCCACACCCACCAAGCCATGCCATGCCCAACAAGCCACACCCACAAAACGGGTAGTAAAAAAAATTGAAATCCACAACTGGTCTCCTACTTCGGCAACGGGGGTTGAGTAGATGACCTACAAGGTGTTCTCCAACTCTGTTAAATTGTTAGTGCTTAATGTAGAGGAAACGGAGTTATTTGTAGAATACAGTCCGGGACTGGTAAACACTTAACACTTCAAGTCCTAACCAAGGAGCTAAGATCTGTTAAGGCAGCATCTGAATATGTAGGCAGTTCCTAGTAGGGTAGTGTGTTTTGTGTTTTTTTTTTTTCAAAATCAGAATATTCAGGTCTTAATAAATTCAAAAATTCCATCTATATAGGTTCTTCCTCCATAATCGCTTAACTTCGATTTGCAAATCAATATTTTTTTTTGTGTGTGTGTGTGTTTTTCTTAGCTATTACTCCTCAATTTGTGCATCGCCTGGTATTGCAATGTTAATGAACCAGACTTCTCCCCACCCACAATTGGGATATCTCTTCAGGCACACTGTGGGCCAGATGTCTATCTGTACTACTATTATTTCAGTACCACCTGGTATTGCAACCCCCCATACACACACACAGACACACACACACAATATGATATCAGGCATGTTGTGGCCCAGATGTCTATCTGTACTATTATTATTGCTTAGCGCATTGTAAGCCGCCCTGGCTTCGTGCTTCCAGGAGCAAATATATATATATATATTATTTCAATTTTTATCCATCTTTGTGAATCAACTCTCGGCAACGAATAACTGATCAATAGCAACCCCAAACAAGCAATATATAAAATGAATACTACCGCCAAGATAAAACCCAATCTAATGAGCAAAGAACATCCCACAGGCTTGATCAATTTCTTCTCTCTTGTGTCTTTTCTTTGATTCAACTCAAATTGTCTTACAAATTGGTGCCTCAGCATTTCGTTTGCACTCACATTTTGGGGTTTCGTCAGGAGGACATACTAAGGGGAGAAAATCTGGGTGTTGGAAAAATCTGCTGAATTCACATATGATCTTCTTTTCATGTTCTATCTCAAAATACTGTGTCTCCTTGCATGTTCCTCACCTGTCCTTTTGAATATAAAGTTATTTATTTGTAGAAAAATAAGTTATAATAGATGAATATCTTCTCTGTCTTTCTTTTTTCTCATTCCAACTTTGACTTACCAATTGTGCCTCATCAAGCATTCGGGTTTTGGGGTCCTTTTCAAAAGGCCATGGAAAGGGGAGAAAATGTGGAGGGCTTTAACTGAATATAGATGTGCTCTTCCCTTCATGTTCTCTCTCCAATGTAGCCCTTTCAAAAATTATAATTGCATGTTCCTTGCCTGTCCCTTTGAATTACTTTGGAGAAGCGGTAAAAATTTGCAAGTCTTTGTTTTAATTACTCTAATATAAACCTGCCATTTCTGCTATGAATGTACAGTAAAAAAAAAAAAAGAGTCTACCTTCACTTTTATTAAGACTGGAATCTTTTGTGAAAGTCGCCCATGTAAGGAGACTACAAGGAAAACTGAGATTAATGCCCTGAGTGGACCTTTTATCTGAAGCGATATGTACATGAAGGCAAAATTTCCCCTTTAAAGGATCCACTTGGTTTCCCTTTTCAGGCTACACCCACCCACACAAAGTTCGTGCACTTGACTGAATTCTTTCATCTCAATTCCCTCCATTCATTACACGGAGCAATAATGATCCCATGGCTGAATTTGGTGCCCTTGTTGGTGCTCATTCAAGGTATTTTTTTCCTCCTCTTTAAAGAATTTCCTTCCATTTTCTCTTTCTGTACATAGAAGATTTCATTGAAACACTTTTGTTTTTAGGCGTCCAGTCTCAAGTACAGTTGGTGGAGTCCGGAGGGAATGTGAGAAGCCCTGAAGGGTCTCGCCGTCTCTCCTGCCAAGCCTCTGGATTCAACTTCGGTAGCTACTGGATGCACTGGGTGAGACAGACTCCACAGAAAAGACTGGAATGGGTTTCAAATATACATCCAAGTTCATCTATCAGCTACTACACTGAGAAAGTGAAGAGACGCTTCACCATCTCCAGGGACAATGCCAAAAGCCAGCTGTATCTGCAAATGAGCAATCTGAAACCAGAGGACACAGCGGTTTATTACTGTGCGAGAGACACAGTGAGAGGAAGTGAATCTGATGCCAAGCAAAAACCTTCTCCTCCTCTGAGCAGCTTTCCAAAGTGATTCAGTCACAGGAAGTTGAATGTGAAGTGTTAAGTTCTGGGCGAAGCATGGAGTGAGGCCGGAGTGACTCCTAACTATGATAAACTCATGAATGAGGAGATGGCTTGTGACACAATCTGTTTATTGACAACAGAGGCAACTGCTGAATAGAATCAACATTAGAAAGAGTTGACAGCTCGTATATACTGAGCTGTCAAAAACAACAACCAATAGCTGTTATATTAGCAAGGGTGGTAATTACTGAGGTGACACGAGCTTCAGAGAACACTATTTATTGTATAACTAACACAACTCCGTAACAGCCGGCAAAGAGGAGATTTATATAGCTGCTGTCAGATCGCTTTAACCAATCAGGAACTGCGGAAACTCCGGCTCAGAACAAGGTTCTGGATTATGATCCAGCCAATTAGGACGAGGCGGCCCTGTTGTCAGGGCCTGAAGGGATGCAGAAATAAACCAATCAGATCACATCGTGTCAGCATGCTCTACGCTCTTTCGGCAGCTCCGCGGACAAAACACTAACTGCTCTTTATTCCCGCTCCTTTTATATAAAACTGACTAACCAAACCACCAATCAGGAAAGAGAGGATTTTCCCGCTCCAACAGAGGACCAGAATGAGAACTTCAACTGACAACTATGTAAAATTCATAGCATGAAGCACTAGATAAATCTTCCTAACAGGTTGTGGAACCTCAAATATCTGATCTTCAGAGAAACAATGTTCAACCTGGTTTGCACTTTGGGGGAGGGGGAGAGAATCTCCAGGCTGTGGAATAAGCTAGGCAGCTTTTAAAAAGTTAAATTTTATTTACCGGAAGAAAAAATGGATTGATTTTTTCAGATCTTCCTTGGTATATTTGCAGTTCTGAGTCCTTATTCTCGGTATTGTCAAGTCTCCTTGGTTTAATTCTTTTAGATATGTTGCCCCATTTTCGATTCTTTCTATATCAATATATATTCAATGCCCTTAATCCTGAAGTTCTCTCCAGTCTCTAGGATTGAGCCAAAGGAGGTAAACACTGGCCATTGAAAACTTTGTCTCCCAGAAAGCCTCTGAGAAACAGGACTGCCTTCCTGCCTTGATGCTACAACTTCATATCAAAGAATTGAGGTCTTGACCTGACTTACTCCCAATTAACATATGAGGGGCGAGTAAGAACTGAATCAGTGGTGAAATCCAGCAGGTTTTGACAGCTTCTGGAGAACCGGTAGCAGAAATTTTGAGTAGTTTGGAGAACTGGCAAATATCACCTCTGGCTGGCCCCAGAGTGGGGTGGGAATGGAGATTTTGCAATATCCTTTCCCCAGGAGTGGGAAGGGAATGGGGATTTTGCAGTATCCTTCCCCTGGAGTGGGGTGGGAATGGGGATTTTGCGGTAGCTACGTGCTGCTGCTCAACAACTGCCCCATTCATTGGTACACAGGGAAGCAAAAACTGGTAGCCACCTCAACCACCTCCTAAGTCTAAAACTATACCTGCACAAAATGAGACCGCTGGATTTGTTTTTTCACTTTAATTTCCCTGTTAAGCAAGGAATTCAGTTCAGTGGTGAATTCAATTTTTTTTTACTACCGGTTCTGTGGGTCTGGCTTGTTGGGCGTGGTGTGGCTTGTTGGGCGTGGCTTGGTGGGCATGGCAGGGAAAGAATACAATAAAATCCCCATTTCCACCCCACTCCAGGGGAAGGATACTGCAAAATCCCCATTCCCACCCAACTCTGTGACCAGCCAGAGGTGGTATTTGCCGGTTCTCTGAACTACTCAAAATCTCCTCTACTGGTTCTCCAGAACCTGTCAGAACCTGCTGGATTTCACCCCTGACTCAGATGTGTCCTTCTTTTTTATCTCCAGTGCAGCTCTTTTAAAAATTGCAATTGCATGTTCATCTCTTGTTAATTTGAATCACTTTTGAGAAGTGGTGAAATTTTGCAAATCTTTGCCCCAGAGGTGCTTTTTCAGGAGGCAGCTGGATTTTTGTGTTGTTGTTTTTTCTTTGCAGACGTTTCACTTGTCATCCAAGAAGCTTCATCAGCACTGATAGGAAAGTGGGGAATGGAAGGATTTATATTCCTTACAGACAGCTGGTCATTTGCATCCTTTTAGAGGGTTGTTGAAGCACTTGGAGGTTTATCTATGTCTGTTGTGACCCAGGCCCAAGTTAGTAGTAGGAAAATCAAGTCCGTGAAAAAACAAACAAACTTTATTCGAACAGCTGAGAATTACTTCATTCCCAGCGTCCTTCAACTAAATTAAAACAAATTCCTCCCAACACAAATTCCTCAGTCCTATCGCAAATCTTGGTCCAATTAGGCAAACTGTCAAAGGCCTTTCTTGGCAAACGTTCAAAAGTCACAGATACAAAAATAAATACAAGACGAAGATGAAGAAGAAGACGAAGCTACCAATGTTGTTTTCCGGTAAAGCCCAAACACCGTTGCTGGTATGTTTTAAGCCTTATGGGAGGGGCCAATCATCTCTTGGCCCTACTCCCGAGTTGTCCTCTTTGCTTGAGCTGCTCTTGCCTTCTGGCAGCTCTTCTCATGCGTGCATTAGGAAGAGGCTCATCCTGTTCCTCTGCCTCGCTCCTATCAGTCTCTGGAGACTCTGGAGTCCTCACCTCCCTCCCCGATGGCCCTGGCACCATCTCTGCCTCTGACACAGAGCCCTCATCCAGGCCTTCCTCAGCCTCCAGGACTGGCCCATGTTCTTCTTCAGCCTCATCGCTGTCCGACTCCGCTGCCAGCTCCGCAGGCTGCTGGCGGACCACAACAACGTCCTCAGGGTCACCTGAGTGGTGCTCCTGGTTCCTTTTTTCCCTCTGGAAATCCATTCCTACTCCCACCCCATTCGAAGGATGTTCATCCCAAATTGTATAGCTAAAAAGTCAATGGAGATTCTCAGTCATCCAGGTCATGGTTGTCCCAAAGGTGCTTTTTCAGGAGGCAACTGGACTTCCTTGTTGTTGTTTTTTCTTTGAAAACATTTTGCTTCTCATCCAAGAAGCTTCTTCAGCTCACTTGGGATGAACACCCTTTGAGTAGGAATCGATTTCCAGAGAGGAGAAAAAAAACTCCAAGCTAAGGGAACCAGGTAGGAATATAAATCATTCCATTACCCATTATCCCCTCAGCCTCCAGGACTGGCCCAGAGCTGAAGAAGCTTCTTGAATGAGAAGCAAAAAGTCTTCAAAGAAAAAAAACATGAAAGTCCTTCTGAAAGCCTTCTGAAAAAAGCACCTCTGGGAAAACCATGACCTCAATGACTGAGAATCTCTACAGACATTTTGCAAATCTTTGTTTTAAGTGTCTAATATAAACCTACCATTTCTGTTAAGAATTTAGGCTAAAAGGAAAAAAAAAATCCTAAGACTACCTTCGCTTTTATTAACAATGGAATGAAATGTGAAAGTCACTCATGTAATGGGGGAAGAAGGAAAACTGTAAGATGAATGCACTGAGGGGCCCTTTTATCTGTGGTGACATGTAAATCAAGGCAGAATGTCAGTTTAAAGAAGCCACTTGATTTCTCTTTTCAAGCTATACCCACCAACAGAAAGTTTGGGCACTTTCCTGAATTCTTTCTTTTCATTTCCCTTCATTCATTACAGGAAGCAAACATGATCCCGTGGATGAATTTGGTACTTTTGTTAGTGCTCCTTCAAGGTAATTTTTCCCTTCTTAAAGAATTTACACACACACACACACACACACACACACACGTCTGTCTGTCTGTCTGTCTGTCTGTCTGTCTGTCTGTCTGTCTGTCTGTCTGTCATCCATCCATCATCTATCTATCTATCTATCTATCTATCTATCTATCTATCTATCTATCTTCTATCATCTATCTATCTATCTATCTATCTATCTATCTATCTATCTATCTCTCTATCTGTATCTATCTATCCCAGCGTCCTTCAACTAAATTAAAACAAATTCTATCATCTATCATCTATCATCTATCATCTATCTAGAATAGAATAGAATAGAGTAGAGTAGAGTAGAATAGAATAGAATAGAATAGAATAGAATAGAATAGAATAGAATAGAATAGAATAGAATAGAATAGAATAGAATAGAATAGAATAGATTAGCCAAGTGTGATTGGACACACTAGGAATTTGTCTTGGTGCATATGCTCTCAGTGATCTATCTAATCTAATCTAATCTAATCTAATCTAATCTATCTATCTATCTATCTATCATCTATCTATCTATATCTATCTATCTATCATCCATCCATCCATCCATCCATCCATCCATCCATCCATCCATCCATCTATCTATCTATCTATCTATCTATCTATCTATCTATCTATCTATCATCTATGATCTCTCTCTCTCGATCTCTCTCTATCTATCTCTCTTCTATCATCTATCTATCTATCTATCTATCTATCTATCTATCTATCTATCTATCTATCTATCTGTATCTATCTATCCCAGCATCCTTCAACTAAATTAAAACAAATTCTATAATCTATCATCTATCATCTATCATCTATCATCTATCATCTATCATCTATCATCTATCATCTATCATCTATCTAGAATAGAATAGAATAGAATAGAATAGAATAGAATAGAATAGAATAGAATAGAATAGAATAGAATAGAATAGATTGGCCAAGTGTGATTGGACACACAAGGAATTTGTCTTGGTGCATATGCTCTCAGTGATCTATCTAATCTAATCTAATCTATCTATCTATCTGTCTGTCTATCTATCTATCTATCTATCTATCTATCTATCTATCTATCTATCATCTATGATCTCTCTCTCTCTCTCTATCATCTATGATATCTATCTATCTATCTATCTATCTATCTATCTATCTATCTATCTATCTATCTTTTGATTGAAACTCTTTTGTTTTTAGGAGTCCAATCTCAAGTCCAGTTGCTGGAGTCTGGAGGGGATGTGAGAAGACCTGAAGGGTCCCTTCGTCTCTCCTGCCAAGGTTCTGGATTCAATTTCAGCACCTATCCGATGAACTGGGTGAGACAGGCACGAGGGAAAGGACTGGAATGGGTAGCTGGCATAAGTATAGGCTCATCTCCTTATATCTACTACCCAGATAAAGTCAAGGGACGGTTCACCATCTCCAGGGACAATGCTAAAAGCCAGCTCTATCTACAAATAAACAATCTGAAACCAGAAGACACTGCTGCCTATTACTGTGCGAGAGGCACACACAGAGAGAGGGGCACAGTGACAGAAAGTGAAGCAAAAACCTTCTCTTCCTCTCAGCAGCTCTCCAAATTGATTCCGAAATTTGAATTCATGTATTTGATGAGAAGCTAAAGAAAACACCAAGAAAGTCCAGTTGTCTTTTGGAAGGAAACAACAACAACAACTTTCAGATGGTCTGAATTTTTCCATTCTTCTTTTGGGTGCCTGTACTATTAACATTCCTATCTCTATTGCTGGAGTCCAAAAGTCCAGAGGGACCAGAACTGAATACTATAGTGATTTTAGTAACCAGCAACAAGCCCTCTACAAGGTGGCTGGCCTTGCAGGGGGGTGGCTTGGATCTTGGCTCCAATACGTAGGGTCAGAGACACCATTCGTACCTTCCCCAGCAGTCGCCATGAGGGGGCGCCCAAGCTGTGCAACTGAGTCATAGTTACTCCAGCCTGTTACCTATAGCGTCACTATAGGTGGCTCAGTGGCTAACACACTGAGCTTGTTGATCAGAAAGGTTGGCAGTTCAGCAGTTTGGCAGTTCGAATCCCTAGTACAGGTCTCTGTGTGAGCAGGGGGTTGGACTAGATGACTTCCAAGGCAGTGGTGAAATCTAAAATTTGTTACTACCGGTTCTGTGGGTGTGGCTTGGTGGTGGTGGGGTAATGTGACTGGATGGGCGTGGCCATTTCTTTTTAAATTTTAAAACCATTTTTTCTACAACCTCTTCCGCAAAGAGGTTGTAAAAAAATGCTTTCAAAAGGCTCTGACGATCCCAGCTGAGTTGCCTGATCAGCAGAGGCTTTTTTTCTTTTAAAAGCCTCTGCTGATCAGGCAACTCACCTTGGATCGTCAGAGTCATTTAAAAGAAAAAAAGCCTCTGCCGATCAGGCAACTCAACTTGGATCATCAGAGGCATTTAAAAGAAAAAAAGCCTCTGCCGATCAGGCAACTCAACTTGGATCATTAGAGTCATTTAAAAGAAAAAAGCCTCTGTCGATCAGGCAACTCAACTTGGATCATCAGAGGCATTTAAAAGAAATAAAGCCTCTGCCGATCAGGCAACTCAGCTGGGATTGTCAGAGGCTTTTAAAAACATTTGACGATCCCAGCTTAGCTGCTCAATCATCAGAGGCTTTTTTTTTTACTTTTAAAAGCATTTTTTCGGCCGAAGAGGTTGTAGAAAAAATGTTTTTAATTTTTTTTAAAAAAAGCCTCTGATGCGGGAGCATTTCACCCCTGCTCCAAGGCCCCTTCCAACTCTGTTACTGTTATTATTGTCTAATGCAATCCACATTTACTCAATGGAAATTAACAAGAGATGAATGTTGAACAAGAGACAGTAAAAATGATTACCCTATAAAATGAGTTCAAAAGTAATATAGAAATATAGAAATTTGGGTATGTTAATATAGAACAGATGCTGAAGAATGAAATACCCATGAAATCCTCACTGCGTATAGTAAACCTGGAATGAGAGAACAGTCTTAATCTGGCTAGAAGAATCTCTTGGTTGGAATTGTGCCGAGAAGATCTGGAAGATCAACTTCTGGGGATGGCCAAGTTGTCGGCTAATTCATTGTGTGATGATATGAGATTTAAGAGGAAAAATAAGAATCCTACAATCCCAGAAAATACAATCCATAATACAGTAACTCTTCAAAGCTTAATTTTCTATGGCAGGATCTCACTGTTCTCTTCTTCTCCTAAAACATCAGAATGTCATGATCATAATCAAGTTTATTTGTCAAGGATATATAAGATAACAGGTAAAAGTACAAACATGATTTGAATACATGAACAGAGTAAGTAAACAGGAATATTAGGACAGGGATGGTAGGCACGCTGGTGCATTTGTGCACCCCCCTTACAGACTTCTTAGGAATGGGGTGAGGTCAACCGTAGACAGTTTAAGGTTAAAGTTTTGGGGGTTTGGGGAAGAAACTACAGTGTCAGGAAGTGCATTCCAGGCATTGGCCACTCTATTACTGAAATCATATTTTCTGCAATCAAGTTTGGAATGGTTTACCTTGAGTTTGTATCTATTATTTGCTCGTGTATTGTTGTGGTTGAAGCTGAAGTAGTCGTTGACAGGGAGGACATTGTGGCAGATAATTTTATGTACTATGCTTAGTTAGACTGAAGTCGGCATAGTCCTAAATTGTTAAGCCCAAAATTTGGAGTCTGGTGGCATAAGGTGTTTTATTGCGGTTAGAGGAATGGAGGATTCTTCTCGTAAAATATCTCTGGACTCTCTCAATTGTATTTATGTCCGATATGCAGTGTGGGTTCCAGACAGATGAGCTGTATTCAAGAATTGGTCTAGCAAATGTTTTGTATGCTCTAGTTAGTAATACAACATTACCAGAGAAGAAGCTACACAAGATTAGGTTAACAACTCTTAATGCCTTTTTGGCAATGTTGTTACAGTGGGCTTCTCTTATCCTTATCACTTACACCAGGGGGTAGTATTGTCACACTCAATTGTGTTGGCCATGCAAGGAGAAGTAGCAGAGAAATATACCAAGGTGCAAAAATAAAGTCTCATTTCCAAGGTTAATTATATCTTTATTTAAATGCTTAAAAGTTCCCTGAATGGATTTCAAAACAACTATCATCTTCATTGTGAAGGCATGTCTGGAATCACAGCAAATATATTTCTTCAAAAACTAAGGAGTTGACTTTATTGGAAAATAAAAAGGGATCTTTTGAATTTCTTAATTTTTGAAAATTGAATTTCTTGGAGAATAAAAAAAAAAAAATCTTTTAAACTTTCTCATTCAACGAAGAGAACATTTCAGGATATAACATTATTTGATTTTGTCTTTTTGAGATATGTGGAGTTCACAGCTGTGGATTGGAAATTGTTCCTCAGGGCTTAGTCACTGTTTAATGTACTTGGGAGAAGGAAGGAAGGAAGGAAGGAAGGAAGGAAGGAAGGAAGGAAGGAAGGAAGGAAGGAAGGAAGGAAGGAGGGAGGGAGGGAGGGAGGGAGGGAAGGAAGGAAAGAAGAAGGAAGGAAGGAAGGAAGGAAGGAAGGAGGGAGGGAGGGAGGGAGGGAGGGAGGAAAGAAAGAAAGAAAGGAAAAGAAAAGAAAGAAAAGAAAGAAAGAAAAGAAAGAAAGAAAGAAAGAAATCTCTTAACTCTGACGTAGTTAGGAGAAGTTCTCCCACTGACCCATTTTTGAGAAGTAATGGAACTATTCAAATCTTTGTTTTATTCACAATGAAGTACATCTGCCTTTTCTCCTGTGTACAAATAGGGAAACAAAAATAAACATCCAGAATCCAGAATCAGAATAGAGCTGGAAGGGACTTTGAGGACTTCTACAGTCCTGCTCAAGCAGGAGGCCCTATAACATTTCAGACAAGGGACTGTCCATCTCTTCTTAAAAACCTCCAGTGATGAAGGACCCACAATGTTTGGAGGAAAGCTGTTCCATTCGTTAATTGTCCTCTCTCTTACGAAGTTTCTCCTTAATTCCAAGTTGCTTCTCTCCATGATTAGTTTCCATCCAATGGTCCTGTCCTCTGGTGCTATGGAAAATAAGATGACCCCCTCTTCTCTAGACAGCCCCTCAAATACTAAAATATTGCTATCATGTCAGTCCAGTCCTTCTTTTCTCTAGACTAGCCAAACCCAAATCCTGCAACCGTACTTCATGTGGTTTAGTCTCCAGGCCTTTAATCATCTTAGTTGCTCTTCTTTGCACGTTTCAACATCTTTTTTATATGTGGTGATCAAAACTGAATGCTGTATTCCAGGTGTATCCTTACTAAGGCTTTATAAAGCGGGACGAATATTTCATGTGATTTTGAGTCTATGCCTCTGTTTTTATACAACCAAAGATTGTATTAGCTTTTTTGGATGCTGACGTACAGTTAACTCATGTTTAAGTGATTGTCTGCCAGGACTCCAAAGACCCTCTCACATTTACAATGACATGCATGGCATCACTTTACTTAGGACTGAAACATTATTGAAAATTCACACATGTGTAAGGTCTGTGCAAAACTATATGTCTAAGTGAATGCACCGAGGGGCTCTTTTATCTGAAGCAATATGTAAATCAGGGCAACAATTTCCCCTTTAAAGGAACTGCATAGTTTCCCTTTTCAGACTACATGCACCAACATGAACTTTCTGGGAGCAAAAATGAAACTGTGGCTAAACTTTGTGTCCTTACTAGCAGTCCTCAGAGGTAATTCTATCCTCTGTATTCAGCTTTTTCCATTTTAATTCTTGTACACATGAATGTTCTCTGAAATAATTTTCATTTTAGGTGTGCAATCTGAGATTCAGTTGGTGGAATCTGGAGGGGATGTGAGAAGACCTGAAGAATCCCTCCGTCTCTCCTGTCAAGCCTCTGGATTCACCTTCAACAGCTCCTGGATGTACTGGGTGAGACAGGCTCCAGGGAAAGGACTGGAATGGGTGTCACACATAAACTACAATTCCGGTACTATTCACTACAATGACAAAGTGAAGGGCTGCTTCACCATCTCCAGGGACAATGCCAAAAGCCAGCTGTATCTGCAAATGAACAGCCTCAAACCAGAGGACACGGCAGTCTATTACTGCTCAACTTACACAGTGAGAAGAAGTGAATCTGAAGCTCAGAGCAGATCCCCAAGTGGATTCAGTCATAGAAAGTTCAAATTGATCCTTTGAACTGAGGAGCAGGTGATCGATCTATATCAGGGGTCAGCAACTTGTGCTCCATGTGGCTCCTTCATTCTGCTGTGGCTCTGTCACTCTATGCGTATGTGTCAGGGCACACGATTTATTGAGCTTTTCAACCCCTGGTAGGCCAACCATGGATAAATCCAAGAAAAGAAAAAAGTTTCAGAAGAAAACAGAATGTTTAATTCAACTACATATGTTAGTTTTGCAGCAGCTCAAGAAATAGTTAGGCATGGAAAAGGTTTTGTGGCTCCCGGTGTTTTCTTTTCTGTGGGAAACGGGTCCAGATGGCTCTTTGAGTGTTTAAGGTCGAAGAACCCTGATCTACATCTTAAGCGTAGAATATTTCATGGATCAGGAGAATATTTTAAGACTTTAAAAAAAAACTGAGATCCGAATAGGATAGGATAGGATAGGATAGGATAGGATAGGATAGGATAGGATAGGATAGGATAGGATAGGATAGGATTCTTTATTGGCCAAGTGTGATTGGACACACAAGGAATTTGTCTTTGGTGCATACGCTCTTGGTGTACATAAAAGAAAAGATACATTTGTCAAGAATCATAAGGTACAGCACTTAATGATAGTCATAGGGAAACAGTCAATATAAAACTTAAGGATACCAGCAACAAGGGTATAAATTAGGGAAAATAGAAGCCCATGTTCTTGAATTGAAGGTGAAGGGACCTCGTCATTTACATTTACAAGGAATCAATAATGGTTCACAGAGCTCATGATACCAAGTTGCGAGTCAAGTGTGACAGATTCCAGGGAAGGGACTAGAGTGGATTGTGTGATGGCCAGTAAACAAGTCTATGCAGAATCCATGAAAGGGTTCTTTGCCATCTCCAGAGAAATATCCAACTGCCTTCTGTATCTGCAAATGGACATCAAAACGAGGCACAAAACACCTAATATTTTTGACTGTGACTGAAATAAAATCTGTGGTTTCAGCTCTGAACTTGACTTCTTCTCCAGCTGTTTCCTGGAGAAGAATTTAATTTCCTTCAAGAAATTAAAATAATTTCTTGAAGGAAAAAAAATAATAGTCCTTTGAGAATTTAATTCCCCAAGAATTCTCAAAACTTCTTCAATGTCAAACTTCAGTATGTATAGCAAAACGATCTTTCATATCCCATTTATTTCATATATATGGTGTCGATGAACAAAATGAAAGATTATTGTTGTTGCTTCTCAGAATTTAGGCAGTTATACTATTAAAGCCAGGATTGTACGACATGTACAGGTAATCCTCAAGTTACAACTGTCATTGAGCCTGGTAAGTCATAAAGCGGTTCATCACATTAACTCACCCAAATTTACTCTCTTGATTGCGGTAAACACAGCAGTCATTAAGCGAGCCAATTTTGTTTTCACAGAAAAACAAGAACAAATCATATCTGACATCACATTTTTTAGAAATGGAGCATTATTTGAAAGTCACACATGCTGGGTCTGTCCCCCCAAAAAAGACTTTAAATGAATGCATTGAGGGTCTCTTTTATCCCAAGCGATATGTAAATCAGGGCTCCATTTCCCCTTTAAAGTAACTGCATGGTTTCCCTTTACAGATTATGTCCACCAAAACAAAGTTTGCGCTTTCCCAAATTCTCTACTATCGGTTCCCCTCCATTCATTAGGAGGAGCAGAAATGCTCCTGTGGCTAAATTTGGTGTCATTAATAGCTGTTTTCAGAGGTAATTCTATCCTGTATCCTCAGCTTTTTCCATTTGAATTCTTGTACACAGGAATGTTTGCTTTCATTTTAGGTGTCAAATCTGTGATCCAGTTGGTGGAATCTGGAGGGGATGTGAGAAGACCTGGAGAGTCCCTCCATCTCTCTTGCCAAGCTTCTGGATTCACCTTCAACAGTTACTGATAAACTGGGTGAGACAGGCTCCAGAGAAAGGTCTGGACTGGTTGGCCTACATAAGCATTGATTCTGTACTATTTACTACTCAGACAAAGTGAAGGGCCGCTTCACCATCTCCAGGGACGATGCCAAAAGCCAGTTGTATCTGCAAATGAACAGCCTCAAGCCAGAGGACACAGCAGTCTATTACTGTGCAAGATACACAGTGAGAGGAAGTGGTTCTGAAACCAAAAAAAGAACCTTCTGTCTCATAGCAGATCTCCAAGTGGATTCAGTTACAGAAAGTTGAATTTGAATCTTGTGAACTGAGGAGAAGGCGATCGATCTACATCATAGCTGTAGAATATTCCATGGATCAGTAGAATATTTCAAGACTTAAAAACAAAAAGGAAAAGGAAAATACTTCTGGGACCCATGTAAATTAGGAAAAATAGAAGCCCAAAGAGATGTTCTGCTCTTGAATTGAAGGTGAAGGGACCATTTACACATACAAGGAATCAGAAATGTTTCATAGAGCTCACAATACAGAGTTGTGAGTTGCGTCTGACAGACTCCAGGGAAGGGACTAGAGTGGATTGTATGATACCCATAAACACGTCTATGCAGAATCCATGAAATCCAACTAACCTTCTGTATCCGCAAATGGATGTTCAAGCATGTAATATTTTTGACCATGACTGAAATAAAATCTGTGGTTTCCATTGTGAACTTGACTGCTTCTGTAGCTGCTTACTGAAGAATTGAAATAATTCTTTGAAAGAAAGAAAGAAAAAAAATGGTCCTTTGAGAATTTCATTCCCCAAGAGTTCTTAAAACTTCTTGACTGTCAAGCTTCATTGGTGAATAGCAAAAAATAATCCCCCCCATATCATATTTACTTATTTCATGTATGCTGGTTGATGAACAGAATAAAAAGTTATTGATTGATTGATTGATTGGTTCGATTTATATGCCACCCTTTTCCGGAGACTCAGGGCAGCTTACAATGCATTAAGCAATAGCCTTCATACTTTTGTATATACCTGTTTAGTAGGGCTTTTGCCCCCCCCAAGCGGTGTTTTTTTTTATACAAAGTCAGTTTATTGCCCCCACAAACTGGGTCCTCATTTTACTTACCTCAAAAGGATGAAAGGATGAGTCAACCTTGAGCCTGGTGAGATTTGAACTTGCAGTAATTGCAGGCAGCTGGTGTTACTTAACAATGCTTTAATCTGCTGCGCCACCAAGGCTCTATATATCTAACATCGCAAACAAGACCAAAATATTCTCTTTTTAATTTTTTTTCTATTTATTAATTTTTATTAGATTACGTTATAATACAATACATAGAGTATCGATTTGACAATGATAATATAAATATAGATTGAATACAATTTTGATTTATGATATCTCCTCAATTTCCCCCTTGTTTGGTTATACTAAGCTATCTCTCTTTCTTTATTCTATCTTCCAACCATCTATACCACACCGTATAGAATTCCGATTCCTCTTTCTCATCAATCTCATATGTTAATTTGCTTATCTCAGCGCATTCTAAAATTTTCCAAATTAAGTGTTCTTCTAGTGGTATTCCCTTATCTTTCCAATGCTGCGCGTATGTTATTCTGGCTGCTGTGATGATATATATAATTAGATATCTCTTTCTTTTCTCACATGTCCACTTTAGTACTTTTTATTGTTATTGTTTCTTTGACTTTAGGCAGTTAAAGTATTAAAGCCAGAATCATATGAAAGACTTGCTTCCAGAAATTGTGGGTGCTCCAACAGTGGAGATTTTTAAGAAGAGACTGGACAACCATTTGTCTGAAATGGTATAGGGTTTCCACCTGAACAAGGGATTAGACGAAAAGACTTCCAAGGTCCCTTCCAACTCTGTTATTCTGTTAGGAGAAATACCAAAAGACCATCTTTTGAAGACCCAAGTTAAAATTCTTGAAGCAAATTTGCATGACTTTCTCCAAGGTTGCTGGATATAACATAACCTGTAAACCAGGTGCTCCTTAACAATTGTCAATTTATGTACTTCTTCAATAAAAGTTAATAAAGAACATTAATATAAAAAATATTGTGTATTCATCATAGTGTGAGAGATACATTCTAATACATGGGGATTTAAAAAAACTGAGTAGAAAGCATGGTTCTGAGGTGGCAATGAACATTAAATTGCATTAAATGTAAAAGTCAATAAAGAACATTAATATAAAAATATTGTGTATTCATCATAGTGTGAGAGATACATTCTAATACATGGGGATTTAAAAAAAACTGAGTAGAAAGCATTGTTCTGAGGTGGCAATGAACATTAAATTGCATTAAATGTAAAAGTCAATAAAAAACATTAATATAAAAATATTGTGTATTCATCATAGTATGAGAGATACATTCTAATACATGGGGATTTAAAAAAAACTGAGTAGAAAGCATTGTTCTGAGGTGGCAATGAACATTAAATTGCATTAAATGTAAAAGTCAATCAAGAACATTAATATTAAAATATTGTGTATTCATCATAGTGTGAGAGATACATTCTAATACATGGGGATTTAAAAAAACTGAGTAGAAAGCATTGTTCTGAGGTGGCAATGAACATTAAATTGCATTAAGTGTAAATTTTGTTTCAAAAGTCCACTGAACCAAAAATAGAAATAGGAAATACTGGTCTTTAAAATGTGGGTAGAGGGACGAACCTGTCATAAAATTACATTCAATGATATAGCAAACACAACCTTTATATACCCTTTCAGAATTTTTAAATACTCTTGGTGGTATTATAAGCGAAACCTGGTTCCCTTTTATCCTGAAGTGTATGTAAATATAGGCCTAACCTTCCTCTTTATATGACATCTCCCACCCTCCTCATCCTGTGGTTGAATAGCAAAAGCCAGTCTGTCTGGAACTTCTCCACTCAGAAAGAAAAATGTTATTTTTGCTCCAAATACTCTCCATTTTAGTAATCTTCAAAGGTAATAGTTTTTCCATACAGAGATGGAAGCTAACATGTTCTAATATGCTTGAGGTGAATGGACTGCAGCCTGCTGGATAGTTAAAATGTACATTTCAATATTTCCTTTCCAGATGTCCAAATGGAGGTCCAGCTGGTGGAGTCTGGAGGGGATGTGAGAAGGCCCGGGGAGTCCCTCCGTCTCTCCTGCCAAGGTTCTGGATTCACCTTCAGCAGCTATTACATGGCCTGGGTGAGGCAGGCTCCAGGGAAAGGACTGGAGTGGGTTGCATTTATAGAGGATGATGGAGATGACAGCACCCAATATTATGCCAATTCAGTGAAAGGCCGTTTCACCATCTCCCGGCGAGATGCCTCCAGCATGCTTTATCTCCAAATGAACAGCTTGAAGCCAGAGGACACCGCTGTGTATTACTGTGCTAGAGAGTCACAGTGAGAGGAAGCTATGGGGAAGCCTGTCAAAATCCCTCATTGCTCATGGCTGGTGTCCAAGTTGAGGCAGCTTCCATGCTCTGAATTAAAAACAAAGGAAGTCGTTAGCTCTCCATGCAGAAAAGTACAGCAGAGCCTCTTTCATTTTCTCTACTGGTGATGTGGAGAAGCCACTAACATTGAAGTAGTCGAATGATACTTTTTTTTTTTAAAATTGATTTATATGCCGCCCTTCTCCGGAGACTCAGGGCGGCTTACAATGCGCTAAGCAATAGCCTTCATACTTTTGTATATTTATACAAAATCAGCTTATTGCCCCCACAAACTGGGTCCTCATTTAACCTACCTTAGAAAGGATGGAAGGCTGAGTCAACCTTGAGCCTGGTAAGATTCAAACCTGCAGAAATTGCAGGCAGCTGTGTTAATAACAGGGTGCATTAAACCACTGTTCTACCAAGGCTCTTATCATTCTGTTTGCTAAAGAATATGAAAAACTGTTGCTGGAACTGGGTATGTCTTGTCTAATGATGAGAAGGACTAGGAATGACATGATAGAGCTCTTCCAATAGGCAAGGGGTGACACAAAGTACAAGGAATCAACCTTCAGTCAAGGGTTGAATCAATGAAAGAAGAGGGAGTCAAGCTATTCTCCAAAGCACCTTAGGGCAATGAAGCAATAGACAGAAATTAATCAAGGAGAGAAGCAATCTAGAGCTAAGAAGAAATTTCTTGACAGTTAGAACAATTAATCAGTGGAACGACTTGCCTCCAGAAGTTGTGAATGCTCCAAAACTGGAAGTCTTTAAGAAGAAACTGGACAACCATTTGATTGAAATGGCATAGGATTTCCTTTTAAGCAGAGGGTTGGACTAGAAGACCTCCAAAGTCCCTTCCAACTCAGTTATTCTATTCTATTCTAACCTATTCTCCAAAGCACCTGAAAGCAGGACAAGAAGCAATGGGTGGAAACTAATCAGGGAGAGAACCAATGTAGAACTAAGGAGAAATTTCCTGACAGCTACAAAAATTAATCATTGGAAGGGCTTGCTTAAGAAACTGTGAATGTTCCATAATTTGAGGTTTTTAAGAAGAGATTGGACAACCATTTCTCTGAAATGGAATAGGGTCTCCTGCTTGAGCAAGTGGTTGGACTAGAAGACCTCAAAGTCCCATCCAACTCTTTTATTCTTTCTCCTTGGTCATCATACTTTGGTGAGTGTTTTCTTCCTGGGCTGAAGCAATGGCATTAAGGCTCACTACTACTAGAGTGTATCAATGATATTCCTATTTTTATTGTTCTGTTTCTCATTTCAAGGTATCAAACTGGAGTTGCAAATGGTGGCATCTGAAGGAGATATGAGAATGCCTGGTGAGCCCCTCTTTATCTCCTGATGAACCCAGCTACAGAAGCAGCTACAACATGGGCAGGATAAAACAGTATTTTGGAAGGGACTAGAATGTGTGGCATAGATCGTCTTTAATCAAAAGAGGTACTCCCTTCATTCAACATCTTTGTGTCTATAATGGATTGCAACTCATCGGTTTTTCTCTTACTTTGAAATCCAAATCTAATAAATTCAAATAAAAGGGGAAAAAACTACTTTAATGAATAAAGCAAATCATGCTTACGTCAAAGATCTTCACTGTGAAGCCCTGTCTGAAATTACAACAAATATATTTCTTACATGTTTCACAAACTGAAATTCTTGGAGAATAAAATAAGAGGCGATCTTTTGAATTTTCTCATTCAACGAAGAGAACATTTTGGGAGATAACATTATTTAATTCTGTCTTTTTGTATTAGGTGGACTCAAAACCGTGGAATAGAAATTGTTTCTTGAGGCTTAGTCACTATTTAATGTGCTTGGGAGAAGGAGGGAAGGGAGGGAGAAAGGAAAGGAGGGAGGGAGGGAGGAAAGAAGGGAGGGAGGAAAGAAGGGAGGGAGGAAGGAAGGAAAGAAGGGAGGGAGGGAGGAAGGAAGAAAGGAAAGAAGGGAGGGAGGAAGGGAGGAAGGAAAGAAGGAAAGAAGGGAGGGAGGAAGGGAGGAAGGAAGGAAGGGAGGGAGAGAGGGAAGGAGGAAAGAAGGGAGGGAGGGAGGGAAGGTGTAGGAAATCTCCTAACACCTATGTAATTAGGAAAATAATTGCTATATTGCTATAGGAAAATATACTGCTACATTGACTCATTTTTGAGAAATGGTGGAATTGTTCAAATGTTTGTTTCCCTTACAGTAGTTTTACTGTGAGTACTTTACTATGTACTCAAGAGAGAACAAGAAAAAAGCATGGCAGGCATCACTTTTCTTAGGACTGGAACATTATTTGACAGTCACGCATATAAGGTCTGTACAAAAATATCTCTAAGTGAATGCATACAAGGGCTCTTTTATCCCAAGCAATATGTAAATCAGGGCCCAGTTTCCCCTTTAAAGGGGCAGCATGGTTTCCCTTTACAGATTACGCCCACCAACACAAAGTTCGTGCGCTTTCCCAAAGTCTCTACTATCAGTTCCCCTCCATTCATTAGAGGGAGCAGAAATGATCCTGTGGCTAAACTTGGTGTCCTTACTAGCAGTCCTCAGAGGTAATTCTATCCTGTATCCTCAGCTTTTTCCATTTGAATTCTTGTACACAGGAATGTTCGCTGAAATAACTTTCATTTTAGGTGTCCAATCTGAGGTCCAGTTGGTGGAATCTGGAGGGGATGTGAGAAGACCTGGAGAGTCCCTCCGTCTCTCCTGCCAAGCCTCTGGATACACTTTTTGGGACTACAGCATGGCCTGGATGAGACAGGTTCCTGGGGAAAGGACTGGAATGGGTAGCCTACATAAGTTATGATGTCACTACTATTTACTACTCAGACAAAGTCAAGGGCCGCTTCACCATCTCCAGGGACAATGCCAAAAGCCAGCTGCATCTGCAAATGAACAGCCTCAAAACTGAAGACACAGCTGTCTATTACTGTGCTAGACACACAGTGAGAAGAAGTGAATCTGAAGCCAGACAAGAACCTTCTCTCCCTCAGAGCAGATCTCCAAATGGATTCAGTAACAGAAATGATAGATCAACATCATAGCAATCAGGGGTGGGTTCTAAATTTTTTTACTACCAGTTCTGTGGGCATGGCTTATTTTGTGGGTGTGGCTTGGATGTCATGTGACTAGGTGGGCGTGGCTAGCTGGTCAGAGTCATTTCTGGAAGGTCCTTGCACTTACAACCAGTACTCGCACTTACGACCCGACTCATTTGTTTGCTTTTAACACTGATCAGCTGTAGGATGGCCCTTTCAAGCCCGGCGGCAAGAGTTTAAACAGTTTTTTCCCCTCTAGTCATCAGCTGGGACTCAGGAGGCAGCAATAGATTGGGGATTGGGACCAAATAAAAGGTAAGAATAACGTGGGGGGGTGGGGGGGTGGGAGGGGGGGGGGGAGAACCGGTTCGGTGATGTCATATTGTCACCGCTACCGGCTCGGCCGAACCGGACTGAACCGGGAGAAACCCACCACTGATAGCAATAGAATAATCCATGGATCAGTAGAATATTTTAAGACTTTAAAAAAAGCTGAGACTCCCATAAATTAGCGAAAATAGAAGCACAAAGAGATCTTCTGTTCTTAAAATGAAGGTGAAGAGAACCTCTGCATTTACAGTTACAAGGAATCAGAAATTGTTTATAGAAACCGCAACAATACCGAGTTGCGAGTCAGATGCGACAGGCTCCAAGGAATGAGCTAGAATGGCTTGTATGATGGCCAGTAAAGAAATCTATGCAGAATCCATGAAAGGGTGCTTTGCCATCTCCGGAGACAAACCCAACTGCTTTCTGTATCTGCAAAGGACGTCAGAAGGAGACGCAAAACACATAATAGTTTTGACTGTGACTGAAATAAAATCTGTGGTTTCAGCTGTGATCTTGAGCCTGATAAGTTATTAACTGGGTTATCACATGATCAGACCCAACATTACTACCATTATTTCAATGAACACAGCAGACATTAAGCAAGGCAGGGGTGAAATGCTCCCGGATCGGACTGGATCGCCCGATCCAGCAGCGATCTTGGCCGGTGGTTCGGCAATCCGGTAGCGATGGTGGAGCAAAGCTCCGCCCACCTGATCGGGTGGGAGGAGCTTCCTGGTTTTAACCAGGAAGTAATGTGTTTTTTACCTTCTGCGCATATGCAGAAGGTCTGTGTGCGAATGTGACACATGCAAACGGAGCATGTGCTTCTGAACCGGTAAGGAAATTAAGTAGATTTCACCCCTGAAGCAAGGCCATTGTTTGCTATGGAGCCATTATTCCATAATCCAGAGGCTAAAATTAGGCAACCACCTGTCTGAAATGTTATAGGGCAATGATGGCTAACCATTTCCGGACTGAGTGCCCAAAGCGTGCATGCCGAAACCCCCAAAATGCAATGCATTCACGATCCCCCTGTCTGCACCCTGCCCCTGCGCATGCCCCCACATGCGCTCCACCCGTAGGCATGCATGTGTGGCCTCCTCATGTGCCCCGCTCCACATGCATCTGCACACACCCCTGTCTGCACCTCGCCCCTTGCGTATGCACAGCAGAGAGCCGATGAAAAGCTGGCTGGCGGGAGCCGTGCACAGATGCACGGCAGAGCTGAGCTGGGGCAACGGCTTGCATGCCTACAGAGAGGACGCTGGGTGCCACCTCTGGCACGCATGCCATAGGTTCGCCCATCACAGGTATAGGGTCTCCTGCTTGAGCAGGGGGTTAGACTAGAAGACCTCCAAGGTCCCTTCCAGCTCCATTGTGATCGGATACTGAATAAAATAAGTCATTGTCCTTGAGGTCCTTCAAATGACCATAAATATGGTGGAGTTGCTGAGCACCCAAAGTACGATCATGTGACTATGTGGAGGCTCCAATTCAGATCTTCAAACCTGGTTTATAGGTAGCTTTGGGTTTGGGTGGAGGAACTTCAAACTGTCGCTATCACACTGATCCTAAATTGAGGACTAGCTGTATGTTAAGATCAAGGACAAATCAAGGACAATTCTATTGCCCATTATTGAGAATCCTCCAAAAAAAAAAAAAAACAAAAAAAAAACCCACCTTTAAGAAACCTTAACAACCTAGATGTTTTATCTCTTTAAGGTTGTATGTCATTGGGTCTACCTAAATCATTCTGCCTAGTTGATTCTATACATTTACAGTATATTTACAGATACAGCTGGCTATTAGAATTATCCCTGGAGGTGATGAACTATCCCTTCTTTCTATCTAATTAATAAAACAAGCCATGCTTACGTAAAAAATAAGAATTCCTAAATTTGTAACCATAGTTCAGCATTTCTGTTTATGTCAAAGTTCTCACCATCCAGGGAAAACATACTAAATTAGCATTTTTTCACATGGCTTTGAAAGTACAATTGATTTCATGAGGGGAGTTTTGAGGAGCATTGTTTTAGTAAGTTGACAAAACCTCCCTTTCCTTCTGCATAAACATTGATCTGCTTGTCTCTTTGGTACTTGAGTCCACTTGCTAACCATTTATTTATTTGTGTATTTCGTCAAGCATATATTTGATAACAGATACAAGTGTAAATATAATTTTGAATACATGAAATGGATATGAATAAAAGGAAAAATTAGGACAGGGATGGAAGGCACAGAGGTGCACTTATGCATGCCCCCTTACAGACCTCTTAGGAATGGGGTGAGGTCAACAGTAGACAATCTAAGGTTAAAGTTTTGGGGGTTTGGGGAAGAAACCACAGAGTCAGGTAGTGCATTCCAGGCATTGACCACTCTGTTACTAAATTTGTATTTTCTGCAGTCTAGTTTGGATCGGTTTACCATGAGTTTGTTTCTATTGTGTGCTCTTGTATTGTTTTGGTTGAAGCGGAAGTAGCAATGACAGGTAGGACATTGCAGCAGATGATTTTATGTACTACGCATAGGTCAGACTGAAGACGGCGAAGTTCTAAGTTGTCTAAGCCCAAAATTTCAAGTCTGGTGGCATAAGGTATTTTGTTGCGAGCAGAGGAGTGGAGGACTCTTCTAGTGAAATATCTCTGGATTCATTCTATTGTATTAATGTCCGATAGATGAGCTGTATTCAAGAATTGGTCTGGCAAAAGTTTTGTAAGCAGTTCAAAATATACCATTACCAAAATATCTGTTCAACAGATGTCCAAGGAACTGAGAAGAAGAAAGGAGCGAGAAGGCCTTTTATTTTGAGGACTATGCAAAAATGCAGGACAACTTCCTCTTTAAATAAGTCAAACCACTTTTGTCCCCAGGTTGTAAGGAGAAGTATAAAGGGTGGCTGTGGGCTGAAGGCTTTTCGTACAAATGAACAAAATGTCACTTTGTCTCTATTTGACATTTTTAATAGCAGTTCTCAGAGGTAGATGTTCTTATTCATAAACCACACGGTTCCATTTCTCTCCTTTTTTATATGTAACACAACTCATAAATTATTCTTTTTTCCCAGGTGTCCAATCTGAGGTTCAGTTGCTGGAGTCTGGAGGGGATGTGAGAAGACCTGGGGAGTCCCTCCGTCTCTCCTGCCAAGCCTCTGGATTCACTTTCAGCAGCTACTGGATGACCTGGGTGAGACAGGCTCCAGAGAAAGGATTGGAATATGTGGCAAGGATACGCTATGATGCTGCATATATTTACTACTCAGACAAAGTGAAGGGCCGCTTCACCACCTCCAGGGACAATGCCAAAAGCCAGCTGTATCTGCAAATGAGCAGCCTCAAAGCTGAAGACACAGCGGTCTATTATTGTGTGAGAGACACAGTGAGAGGAAGTGAATCTGAAGCCAGACAAGAACCTTGTCTCCCTCAGAGCAGATCTCCAAGTGGATTCAGTGCCAGAAAGTTGAATCTGGGTCTTTCAACTGAGGAGCAGGTGATCGATCTACATCATAGCGGTAGAATATTTCATGGATCCGTAGAATATTTTGAGACTTAACCAAAAAACAAAAAACAAAAAACGTAATCCATGGATCAGGAGAATAGTTTAAGACTTAAAAAGGAAGACAATATAAATTAGGGAAAATAGAAGCCCAAAGACATATTCCCTTCTTGAATTGAAGGTGAAGGGTACCTCTGTGTTTACAGTCACAAGGAATGAGTAATGGTTCATAGAGTTCACAATATGGAGTTGCGAGTCAGGTGCAACAGGCTCCAGGGAAGGGAGTAGAATGGATTGTATGATGGCCAGTAAACGAGTCTATGCAGAATCCATGAAAGGATTCTTTGCCATCTCCAGAGAGAAATCCAACTGCCTTCTTGATCTGCAAAGGGACGTCGCAAGGAGGCGCAAAACACCAAATATTTTTGACTGTGACTGAAATAAAATCTGTGGTTTCAGCTGTGAACTTGACTGCTTCTCCAGCTGCTTCCTAGAGAATTAAAATACTTTCTTGAAGGAAGAAAAATAATAATGGTCCTTTGGGAATTTAATTCCCCAAGAGTCCTCAAAACGTCTTCAATGTGAAGCTTCAGTATGTATCACAAATTTTTTTTCCTTGTATCTCCTTTACTTATGTAATGTATGCTGGTTGATGAGCAAAATAAAAGGTGTTCAATCTTTGACTTTAGACAGTTATGGTACTAAAGCCAGAATTATATGACATGGACAAGGGATCTCTGGGTTACCGCTGTAAATGAGCTCAATCAAGCTTCCCAGGCTCATGTCTCTTGAAGTGAAATTAAATTTGCTACCTGTACTTCATCTGCTTATCACTAGAGGGCAGTCTTCTCTGTAAAATCCCACTGAATGTTATTTTCCTTAGTTTTTCCTTGAAAAATTGGGCAGTTCTCTCTGCAAGCCAAAGAAGAGTTCCCTCTATCTCTCCTTTCTTAAATGTAGCCCAAACTGAATTGCTTTGAGGGCTTTATTCCTGTTTCTCATTCTACCAGGATACCGTTTGGCCACACTGTGATTTTAGACTTGTCTCTTCCAAGATATTCAGGTGAATGAAAGATTGATGGATCGGTAGTATTTACTTTCTTTTGTTTATTTATTTAGTCAAGCACTTATTAGATAATATATAGGTTGACAATAGACAGTTTAAGGTTAAAGTTATGGGGGCTTGGGGAAGAAACCACGGAGTCAGGTAGTGCATTCCAGGCATTGACCACTCTGTTACTGAAGTCATATTTTCTGCAATTGAGTTTGAAATTGTTTACCTTAAGTTTGTATCTATTGTGTGCTTTGTGTATTGCTGTGGTTGAAGCTGAAGTAGTCATTGACAGGTAGGACATTGTAGCAGATAATTTTATGAGCTACGCTTAGAAGCATTGCATCGATAATTACTGTATAACGATAATTGTATCGTTGTTGCTTCTTTGACTTTACACAGCTATAGGATTAAAACTAGAATCATACATGTGAACAGTTATTCCTCAAATTATTTTGCTTGATAAATCATGATGGTCAGTAAGGAGGACATCACATGATCAGACCCAAATTTACTAGCTTTATTGCAATGAACATGGCAGCCATTAAGTGAGTCCACTGTTTGCTGTGGGGCAACTTTTTCCACAATCCGAAAGCCAAATCTGATTTCCAGAAATAAGTCATAGTCCTGTCAGCTGTGATTCTCCAAATGTCTTTTGAGAAATAATTGTTCAAATTAAAAAAGAATACATAAAAAAAATAGACGTTGAGACTTTTGAAAAAGTACAGAGAAGAGCAACTAAGAGGGATAAAGGCACAGAGACTAAAACATATGAAGAATGGTTGTGGATTTAAGCTTCGGCTGGTGGATTTAAGTTTGCCTGGTGCAATTATTTTGTTTGAACAACTTTCAAGTGTTTTGTGGACTGTTGGGCCATTGCTCTGTGGACTAACCTTGGTGTAAGTCTACAGAAAGTGATGGACTTGTAGTATCCAAGCTCTGTCACAATTGTCTCCCTGAATGTTTACACCTTCTGTGGCATCATAAGAAGAGAAGGTCCCCTGCTCAGGTGGAAACCTTATACCATTTCAGAGAAATGGTTTTCTAGTCTCTTCTTAAAAAAACTCCACTGTTGGAGCACCCACAATTTCTGGAAGCAAATCTTTCCACTGATTAATTGTTCTGTCAAGAAATTTCTTCTTGAAAGAAGGTTGGATCTCTCCTTGATTAGTTTTCATCCATTGCTTCTTTTCCTGCCTTCAGCCTCTTCTATTGAGAGTGATTAATATTTTGCATCCACAGTAGATATCCCTCTACTGTTTGCATGAATGACTTTCTCCTCCTGCCTTTCGTTTAAATATCCCCTTCGGAATTTAAGAATGAAGCTGGAAAAGAAAACAATTTTCAACTTAACAAAGTTATTTGCATTAAATTCACATCTTAATTCAATTGAATACTTCAGAACAAACCTGTCGATGTAAATAGGATGTGGAGGTAGTATTATAAAGTATTAATTTTTTTTTATTTCATATTTCATTGTATTTTTAGCTTAATCCACAAATGTTGAATTCCTTTGTGTACCATTTTCTATATTGTACCCAGTTGAATGATTCCATGTTGATCGCTGGGTATAACATAACCTGCAAACCAGGTGCTCCTTAACAATAGCCAATTTTTAAAAATTCTTCAATAAAAGTCAATAAAGGATATTCATATAAGAACATTATGCATTCATTATAGTGTGTGGAATACATTTTAATGTTTGTTTGTTTGTTTGTTTGTTTGTTTATTTATTTATTTATTTAATTTGATTTGTATGCCGCCCTATCTCCATAGGACTCAGGGCGGCTCACAACAATTAAAATCAAACCAGATAAAAACATATTAAAATACAAATTAAACGTATGTTACAACTCATTAAAAATCAAACCCCATCAGTCCAGGCTGGACGATTTAAACAACCATGTCCTTAGTTCGCGGCGGGAAGTGCGAAGGTCAGAGGCCAACCGGAGCCCCAGGGGGAGTTGATTCCAAAGGGTGGGCGCACCCACAGAGAAAGCTCTACCTCTGGGGGTCGCCAGCTGACATTGTCTAGCTGACGGCACCCTGAGTAGGCCCTCCCTGTGAGAACACACCGGGCGATGGGAAGCTGTTGCTGGTTGCAGATGGTTCGACAAATATCCTGGGCCTAAGCCATGTAGGGCTTTATAGGTCATCACCAGCACCTTGAATCTTACCTGGAGGGCAACCGGCAACCAATGCAAGTCGCGCAGGAGAGGTGTAACATGGGAGTATCGGGACCCTCCCATCACAACCTGCGTGGTCGCATTCTGTACCAGCTGAAGCCTCTGAGTGGTCTTCAAGGACAGCCCCAAGTAGAGAGCATTGCAGTAGTCAATACGGGAGATGACTAGCACATGAGTAACTGTGCGTAGGGCATCTCGGTCCAAATAGGGGCACAACTGGCGCACCAGGCGAACCTGGGCAAACGCCCCCCTGGTCACGGCTGTTATATGATCTTCTAAACTCAACCGTGAGTCCAGGAGGACACCCAAGTTGCGTGCCCTGTCTACAGGGGGCAAAACTTCACCCCCTATAGCCAAAGATGGAACCTCTCTATCAGATCAAGATGCCGGTACCCACAGCCACTCGGTCTTGGCAGGGTTGAGCCGAAGCCTGTTCCTCCCCATCCAGACCCGCACCGCTTCCAGGCACCAGGACATCATGTCAAATATACAGGGATTTTTAAAAAATCAATATTCTGATGCAGCAACGAAAGTTAAATCACATTAAATGGAATTTTCCTTTCAAAACTTCATTGAACCATAATACAGAAATAGGACACACTGGTCTTTAAAAAGAGGGGAATTTGTCATAGTACACTAATAGATATGGTGAATGCAACCTTTATACACCCATTCAGGTTTTCCAAAAACATTTGGTGTTATTATTAGGCAAACCCTATTTATTTATTTATTTTATTTGGTTCGATTTATATGCCGCCCTTTTTCGGAGACTCAGGGCAGCTTACAATGTGTTAAGCAATAGCCTTCATAATTTTTATATACCTGCTTAGTAGGGCTTTCGGGCACCCCCTAAGCGGTGTTCTTATTTAAACAAAGTCAGCTTATTGCCTCCACAAACTGGGTTCTCATTTTACCTACCTCGAAAGGATGGAAGGCTGAGTCAACCTTGAGCCTGGTGAGATTTGAATTTGCAGTAATTGCAGGCAGCTGGTATTACTTAACAGTGCTTTAGTCTGCTGTGCCACCAAGGCTCCTTCTCTTTTATCCTGAAGATTATGTAAATACAGGGCTAACCTTCCTCTTTATATGACATCATCTCCCACTCCTCCTCAACCTGTGGCTGAAGAGAAAAAGTCAATCTGTCTTGAACTTCTCCGCTGAGAAAGAAAAATGATATTTTTGTTCCAACTAGTCTCCCTTTTAATAATCATCAAAGGTAATAGTTTTTCCATTCAGAGGTGGAAGCTAACAGACTCCAGTATGCTTGAGGTGAATGAACTGCAGCATGTTGGATAGTTAAAATGTCCATATCAATATTTCCTTTCCAGATGTCCAAATGGAGGTCCAGCTGGTGGAATCTGGAGGAGATGTGAGAAGGCCTGGGGAGTCCCTCCGTGTCTCCTGCCAAGGTTCTGGATTCACCTTCAGCAGCTATTACATGAGCTGGATAAGACAGGCTCCTGGGAAAGGACTGGAGTGGGTTGCATGGATAGACGATGATGGAGATGACAGCACCCAATACTATGCCAATTCAGTGAAAGGCCGTTTCACCATCTCCCGGCGAGATGCCTCCAGCATGCTTTATCTCCAAATGAACAGCTTGAAACCAGAGGACACCGCTGTGTATTACTGTGCTGGAGCGTCACAGTGAGAGGAAGCTATGAGGAAGCCTGACAAAATCCCTCATTGCTCATGGCTGCCATCCAAGTTTAGTCAGCTTTCATGGCCTCAATTAAAGAGGGGAAGTTTTATCTCCATGCAGAAAAGTAGAGCAGAACCCTTTTCATTCTCTCTACTGGTGATCTGGAGAAACCACAAAT